ACTCGAGCCAGAAGCGGATTCGGTCGGGCGATTTGGTGACCTGGGTGAACGTTTGGTATACTCGAGTATTACCTTGAAGTCTGGTGGAACCTAGCCAATGTCCGGGAAGGGGGTGAATGAAATGAATGAACGAACGAATGAATGAGGGTTTTACTTACAAAAATACATTTTTAAATGATTGGAAGAATAAGAGGAAATGATAGGAGAATGAATGAATGAACGAATGAATAGCTCCTTGTGAGCACGTATCCTTTTAATGAATGTGCTCTTATCGCTTTCCGTTGTAATGTTTCTTGAGTTATTGATTGTTTATGGTTAATGCATTGAATTTATTGCTTGATTATATGTTCGGAATCTCACTGAGATTTTAACTCATCCCTTTAGTTTTGTTTTCCTTAATAGGGGAAGGCGAGCAAGGACGAGAGCTCGGTGTAGACTAGTCTAGTTCTTTCCTTTTTTTTGTAATGGTTCTCACCCTAGCGCTTGGCATAGGCTGGCTGTATGAAGAATTGAGAACCTTTGTATATTCAATGGTTGAACTCCCTTTTGAGATAGAAATGTAAATAAGTTCCGCTTTAAGTTTTGGATTCTCGTGCTATTTATTCTTGTGGTTGTATTGTGGTTTGGATTGAGAACTGTAGTGAACGACTGAGTTCCGGTGAGAGTTGGGCAGGCGGTCCGCCGAACCCTTTGGTTCGCCTTAGGGTGAGGTGGGGCTATCACAGGGGATCGTTGTGGTGCTAGTATTTTTGTTTTTAGTTTCTAGGGGATTTTCCTTTATTTTTAGTTAGTTTTTGCTTATCTTTCATTTATTTTCTTTTCTTTTTCTTTCTAGTGATTAGTTTTATATGAATAGTTTTGATGCTGGATTGTTGTCTCTAATTCTGCTATTGCCAAGTTTTAGTAATAAAAGGGTATCAAGTTGATGTGGTTGAGTTCAGGAACATCTCTTTGGTGAATTTCAATAATTGCTTAACTTTTCCAATTTTTGGTTAACTTTTCTAGGCATAGGGAATGATTGTTGGCATTTTTCATATGAATTGGTCTAGTTATTAATTTTAGTTCTCCATGTTTGGAAATTTTAGGCTAGCTGCTGTTATTCTTGTGTTGTTTTAGATATCGTGCTATATGGTTGTAAATAAGAGTTGACTGTACTCTGCTAGTGGTTACTACTGAGTAACCGGAGATTTTTACCTAAAGTGTCGATTCTCGCGTCAAAAGATAGTAGTTACTATGAGTGCGTGGTCCTGTAGCAATTGGAACTGAGTAACCGGGCTCCTCCATCCGGCAAATGTTGGAGTTCGCGTCAAAAGGCTCTAAGGGCTATAGACTAAGTCTTTTGTCACTCAAAAAAAAAATAAAAACAAAAAGAAAAAAAAAGAGTAAAGTAAAGTTTGTGTTAGTATTTAGAAAAAAAAAGGGTTATTTGTGATTTTAATGTCAAGATTTTGGTTAATAATTGGACCGTTTGCTGATAAATGTGAGCAACAATTCCTTTTTCTTAGATTAGTTTGCTTTAAATTGGAGGAGTTGGTGGTTTAAAGGCTAACCGGGGTGATTTTTCTTGGATCTTGACCTGTGATGCTTGATATTTATTTTTCTTGGGTACCTTGGCAATACGGTACTTGGAGCAATAGCCATTGTCGAATTTTTGGTGTTCAATTGCTGTTCCAATGTTTAAGGGCAAGCATGATTTAGCTGTGGGGAATTGATAGGATGTTATTTATTAGCAATTTTATTATTAATTTCCCCTTTGTCCTTGCCAAATGTTTTAATTATTAATATTTACTTATAATTGGTATTGGACTCAATTTCAGGGAGTGGAACAAAAAACTACAAAAAAAGGAGAGGCTTTCTGGAAACAATGGAGACTTCAAACAAGCCACAAACCTGGCCCACATGGTGATACGGACGGATTGTATTTCTTTTGGCTGATTGGGAGTGTCTTGAGTACTAAAAGTCCTAAGAGCAATGAAAGACGAGAGAAAGAGGAAACATCAAGAGGCCTTGCCTTTTGTACTTTGATTTTGAATCTGCGGCGGGGACCACGGGAAAGCATTGAGTCATTTTTAGCTTTGGAAGGAAAGAAACTTAGGAAGCTTTGGCAGTTGCTTGTTCCTTATCCGGCGGGAAGACAGAAAGAAGTGAGGCAATTTGTTGTAGATTAGGAAACAATTCTTTTCCTTTGGTTAGGCAATTATTCACGGGCCGCTGCTTTATCTTTGTGGGAATTGGGAGTTTTTCCCATTGTTCTGACTTAATCATTTTTATCTTATCTCAATTTTGGGGACAATGGCCGCAATTATTTCTGCAATTTTGCATGGGATTTCCTTCATGAAGATGAACTAATTCATTTTTTCTAGTCGAAGGTCAATTTGAGGACTTGGTTCCGAACATCTGTAAGATATAATTATTTTACTTATTTCTTTTATTTATTGGTATTTGTGCGTTTCCTGATTTAATTGCTTATGCTTGTTATGTTATTTGAATGTCAAGGGCCCGATATTCGAATTAACTTAATGATCTAATGCCAAATTAATTGATTGAATTCGTAATTGTTCAATTGATTAATACCAGTGGCAACTAGCGTGATTGGTTTCATGTTAGGGAAACGTATGATCTAATTTAAACAAACCCTCGTAGCGTGTTTGTTGATTAGGGTTGGGCTTTTCTAATTATTAATGCAATCGAGTAATTAAATCCTATGCTCGTACCTAGGGTTATTTCTTGGTTAGAGAAATAGTTAACGGTCATGCCTTAACTATCGAGAAATTAAGGAAAGGCTGGTTGTTCATCGCGTGTATGACAACTATAACCAATCTAGTAATGAGTAATTGAATTATCTTTGCATCGATGATCAGTTGAATGGACCGTGTCTGAAAAGTTGCACATTTGGCTAGAGTCATATTGGCTATTGATTAATTCTTGTTTATTTCTATTAGTTAGTTAATTAGTAATTTTGTATTTTTCAAAAATCCCCCATGCGCTGAACTCTAGAAGAGACGAATTATCCCCAATCCCTGTGGATACGACCATGCTCACCGCTATATACAAAATTTGTATTTTTCTTGAGTAGATAATTATTATTGCACAGGCTCGATACCCTGTCAATATCTAAATGGAAACTCACCTGAAAAAACTCTCTTTCTAAAATTCATCCTTTCCTCCTCCTCTCTAAAACTTTTCAACCAAAATTTCTTCCAACTCTCCTCTGGGAGGGAGATGAGAGGTCTTTCCCCATGATAGAAGCCCCCTCTCTTGTTTTATTTTGTCTTGTTTGAATAAATTCTCACTTAGAATTTTTTTGATGAGTGATTCTTCCATATTAGGGTTTTCTAGTGAAAGTCTTAGTCTTTCCTGGGTTTCCCTTGGAAAATTTATCAAATCTTCTCAACTTTCTTTCTTTTTTTTTTGTGAAATTTGTGATTTTACAAATTTGGAATTTCTTAAGTATAATTATGTTAGATCTAATGGATTTTAAGCACTTTTTTTTATGAGGCTTAACTATTGAAAGGCATATACAGCTCTACTGGGTGGTAGCAATTCATCTAGATAGAAGATATTTTGGACTCTCAATATTATATATTTATTGCTTTTTCAGACTTCTTGTATCAATGAAATTTGTTATATCTCTTGCATGACTTTCAAATCTATACATATCTGTGTCATGTTTTATATATTTTGTGTCATTAGTGTAAATTTATTTTAATAAAATTATCCTTTATAATAAAGAAAAAAATGTCATTGTACACTGACGTCTTCGGGAGTAGATAATACTAAAGTCAATGATAATATGAAGAGGTTGCTTGAGGGCAACGTCGCAAAGATTTCCAAATTTCTTTATTAATTGAGTTTAAGAATTGGGCTGCAAAATGACTGGAAAACTAAATATTATGCTGGATAGGTACAAGTATTGGGTTGTTACAGATTGTTCAATTAGAACTCTAGGTATTGCCCAAATAAATAAATTTTCTTTTTTTAGTGGTTGTTTCTTTACATAACCAACTTAATTTGAAATATTTTATCATTGACTTGTGAACCCGATACCTCCAAAATAATAAATACTTATATTTTAGGATATTAAAATTAATTAGTTGATACATTTAGCGTAAACTCTTTCATTGGGTGTTCTTTCAGAACAATTTGAAAGTCACGAGATTCTTGAAATATCTGAAACTGGAAGTTCAATAATTTCATTGTTCTCTGTTGATTGGACGTTGATTTGAAATGGCATGACATGAGGTGTACTATTATGCAATCCCATGAATTGTAAGACTTTGGTATTTTAAGATTTTTTAAGTACCACGAATTTGATATAAAAGAACACCAAAATTTTTAAAATCTAAAGAGCTTGCAAAACTTGTCAAGAAATTTTGTGAAATGAAAAGAGTGTATCTCGCATTACTAACATTTTCAATCCCTGATTAGTGGAATAGCAAGTTTCAAATAACAAAAAATATAATTGTTCGAGAAGAAAAAAAAAGTTGGATAGAATTATAAAAAAAAAAAAATTTAGAGCAAAATATTTCGAGGGTGGTTCATTTCTGAATATGCCAGTCGGATGTAATGTTCTAGAAGCCGTCTCCAACGAAACGGAGTGTAAAGTGATGAAGATTTTTATTTTTTTTAAATATTATGTATCTGCTTTATACCAAAATATATAGGGCAAAAAGTCCCAGTGGCCCTCAAACTATTAGCCGGATGAACTTTTGATCCCCAAACAATTAAAAGTGAATTTTTGGCCCGCAATATATCTAAAGTATAAAATGTTAGACCTTCTATCAAATTTAACCGTTAATACCAACGGAAACTACAATCACGTGAGACACATGCTAAAATATGAAGGACATTTTTGTCCACAATAAGCTGTGTTTCACTCGGTAAAATGGGACTTTTTCCCGAATAGAGTTGAACAAAGAAAAACTCCGTTGCAGCGGGAAATTCATGCGGTTTTGTGAACCATATCAGAAGAAAAGAGTAAAATAGAAAATCCGAAAGGATTAGTAAGCTTGCAGAACTAGCCTCTTACTGAGCCTCTTGATTTCTCTATCCATTTGACCAGTAAGCATCAATCTAAACATCTTGAAATCACACAAAAGGGACCAAAAGTGATGCCCAAAAGTTGCAGGAACGTTTCCTTCCACAAAAAAATGGCTATACCATGCCAAGTCATATCCCAACAAGGGCACAAGGATCACAAACCACCAGTTGAAAAGCATTGAATATATCAAGCAAATAATGCTACAAAACGTGCCCACAAAATGCCAACACCTAGTGGCTGGTTTCGAGTGTTGATTCATTTTAAAAAACCAAAACTCCTCCACGCTTCGGAAATTCATACCTCAAATGCAATCAGAGACCAGCCCGGATCAAAACTGTGGGGAAAAAGGGATCGATCTTTCCGATGGAAGAGATGGAAAGAAGCCCACAACAGACCCAAATCAGATAGTATATTTTATTGTACTGTACTCGATAAAACTGTTTTGCAATGGAAATTCCAATCTCAGCTGGAAGTTTGATTCAATTCCAGTGTGAAAGATCAACAAGTTTTGGGAGTTGCTGAAATGCCCAAAAAGGTTGATAATATTCAGCTAAAATTGGGTTAGGGGCTGGGATGCAAGATGATATTTTGGATCGATACGGACGAAGAGCAAATAGGGTTTGACCGATATTTTGTAGAATAGAATTTGGCAAGATGATGCTGGAGAGGGAATCCTTCCACCCATTGATTACAAGTAGTTTGACTGTTTGTTTGGGATGTTCGACAAATTAAGCTACCCAAAATATAAATGGGAAAGGTGGGTGAGGTTAGGGGTTTCAAGGGTGGATGGTATCTCACTCAATTTCATCTGAAAGAATTTAGGGGCAATAATCTATGAAGAGAACAAAGGAGGTTCGAAGGCTCATCCCGATCCCATCTGCAACAGGGATCAACATTGTTTATATCACTCCTTCAAAGACGTGTGATTGCACGCACACCCCGACACAGCAGAAATTCCAAGTGATTGATCCCTGGGCCTTTGGTCACCCTTTGCTCTCCACTCCATTTTGCATCACCGTCTACTTCCACGGTGTTGATAGTTGGGAAGTTGCAGCAATCGCCAACAATGGTAGAGGAAGAGATATTGGTAAAAGTAAACGATTTGGTCAAAATTATTTTTCACTCCATTTTACAGAGTGGAACACAGCTCATTATGGACAAAAATGCCCTTCTGTGAAGACCCGAATTTTTACTTATTTTAATCTTATTTTAATGGCTTAATTAATTATTTATCCACCCATTTTCTCCAAATAATTTATTTCAACCATTTTAGACCCAATTGCATGGAACTATGACTTGCTTATATTTTTAAAATGACTAGTTTCAAAATTTAATTTTTGAAAGCTCGTTAAGTGAAAATAGTGAATATGCGATTGGAATCAATAATCGATTAGAGAATACGATAAGCTTGGAAAATTGGAGACTTGTATACTAGTCTTGAAATAGATATTTTTATGTTTAAGTGTTCAATTATTAGTTAGTGATACTATCATTATAAGAATTCTTGAAGTTTCACTTTATCGCGCTTAAATCGGAAATATGCTTTTTTACGCTCGCGATTAATTGAGGGACTTTAGACCTTTATTTTTAGACCATTAAGAATGAATAATAATAATAATATGATTGGAAGTGCATTAGAGGTTTAGTGCACGAGTGAAACAAACTCGAGAGAAATCGAGCACTCTCTTAGACAGCCGGCCATCAAGACAAGAAAAACAACTCCAAGCTCTTCAAATTCCTTCATCAAATCTTCATCAAACTTCCTCCAATTCACTTCAAATTTCAACCACACTTAGTCTAACACTTGGATATCACATCTAGCTAAGAAAAGGAGCTGCAATCCGCGGGTTTTCTTGAGCTAAGGAGAGCCGAAATTTCTGTCTTGAACATCAATGCAAGTGAGTGACGATCAACCCTTCAAATCTCGCTTTAGGGATGTAGTAGTGCACGTTTAAACTCATGCATGCATATGAGTAGCTTGTTTATGTTGAAAAATTGTTGTGTGGGCTCTATGAACTCCCACTTTGATTGGATGGACTGATTTAGTGAATGATGATGAAATTAATGCTGGTTTAGTGCTTATATTAGTGGAATAATGTTGGGTTGTTGATAGAAACTCAAGGATGGTGAAATGAGTAAAAGTGACCATTTTACCCCTGCCATGTTCGTGACCTTTGGTGTGAATTTTTGAGATTCTAATGGCTTGATTATAATTTATACATGTTATATGGATGGTGTAGAAAGTTTCATTGAAAAATAACATGGTTTGATTGGCCAAATGTATTGATTTCTAAAGGATAGCAAAACTGGAAAATTTTCCCGGATTGCCCAGGCAGTCCTTTTGTTTCGGCTATAACTTTTTACTCCGATGTCAAAATCGAGTGCCATTTGTGGCACTGGAAACTAGACATTCTCAGATTTCCATTGGTATCAAATGCACATCTTGGTTTTACTTGAGTGAGCCAAACCATTCGTTTGAAAATTGCTGTCCTGTTTCATTGGTTCACTGGAAGGCAGAACTTGAACTACAACTTGATGCTCAAATGTGGACTAGTTGTAGGCAGATTTTGAAAATGGTTTCTTCTGAGAAATTGTAGCTTTATGAATGTGTTTTCCAACACCATCAACCACGCTCAATTCCAAGTTAAATTGAGTGAGTTGTGGCCAAAGTTTGAAACTGGCTTAGTGATGGAATTCTTCATTTTGGACTGATCCTTAACTAATCTTGGTTTGGGACTTGTTATTTGAAATTCTTAGTGAAAATCACCTACCAAATGTATTTTGAATCCTCACTAGACCTGATTATCATAAACGAGACATGTTTTAGGCATTTTCCCTTGGTCAAAAGTTTAGAAAAGAAAATTTTCATATACAAGGCAGCTTTGCCTTAAAATTTTGGAAACTTGAGTGATTTGGTTAACCAACTTCCCGTGCTTATTTATCCATGAAATTTGGCAGTGGAATAGCCCTCATATGGTAGTATAATACTGCCAAGTTTGATGTCATTCCAAGTCCTTCTCGATGCCCAACAGATGTCCCAAAGTCTGCTTTTCAAATCTGGAAAACTTTTCCTTTTCTCTTGACCGAATGGTCAAATCTGATTTGGGGAGTTATATTTCGAAAGTTGTGATGCTCATTACTTTTAAATTGCTTAGTGGATGTTTATGGACTCTTGGTTTCGAAAATGGAGTGATTTAGAACTGATTTCATTGCACAAAACTTTTGCAAGCAAAAGAAAAGTGAGAAGGCAGATTAGCCTTGAAATATTTCTTGAATTTTGGTTATTTTAATGACTGCCTTCCCGTGGAAATTTTTACATGAAACTTGGTAGCAATGTTGTTCACACATGGAGGATTTAGTGTACCAATTTTTTTGTATTTCTAATGCCAAATCGATGGCCAAATGATATTTCCAAGATAGTCTTTAAATCTGGAAAATGACTGAACAGTTTGCGAAATGTGACCAACTTTGAACTGATGTCTCTCGATACTCAAAACTCCGATTCCTGTTCCGCCTATTGTGTTTTAAACTTCGATTGTAACTCTAATTGAGTTCCAAATTGTAGAGGCTATTTCGCATTGTGTGAATTTTGCCGAATTTCTAAACTTTGTCGAAAATCAACCCAAAACTGTCTTAATGGTCCAAAACAGCCACTTTGAACCACATTTCGAATGTCATCCATTTGGAATCATGGAAAAAGTGTCTTCTAGGAACTTTAAGTACTTTGGAATAAGTTTCCAACGGTACCAAGTTTTCCAATTTTGGACTTGTAATGAGTAAGATACGATTTTTCAAAGATCTTGTATCAAAACTGAAATTTTCAAAACTTAAGGAAATGGAGTTTTTTGAATTCTCCTTTTTCCCTTGATATCTTTTGAACGTTTTACACTTGATTTCAAAGATGAAAACCAGATTTCTCTTGTATTTTAAAATCTCACTTTTGAGCCTTGATTCGCGAATAATTTAGGCTCGCTTTTGTGAGATTTTTTTGGATGGTACAAGCGTACAACCATTCGTGATAATTGGGGTATATAAATGATAGTTCACTATTAATTGCTCAGCCTCGTACGAGAACCTTCAAGAGAATTCCACAGTGGACACCTGAACGTCAAGTGATAGTTCTTCTTTGTTTATTTGGTGAGTGTCAAGTATGTGTTAAATGCTTATGTGATTGAAATATTAGTTGTACAAGTGTTATACATGATACGTAAACTTGCCGAACCGAGTGTGTACTTTATCGCACTCGTTTTCATTTGAAATAAATGACTCATGCTTGTCCTAACTTGACTCGCTTGACCTGGCCTGACTTCCTTGACCTGACGTGACTTGCTTGACCTGACTTGACTTGCTTGACCTGACTTGTCTTGACCTGACCTGACTTGCTTGATCTGACATGACTTGACTTGAAAAATATGCTATGGCTGCATAAGTCGATTGGAACGATGTCTCATCGACCTCTGAACGATAGTAAGTGCCACACCGATTTGGTGGGAAGTACCTCTCGAATCGACTCAGACCTATTAACTGAACGATTATAAGTACCACACCGATTCAAGTGGGAGGTACCACTCGAGTCATCTCAATACCCTAGACCTCTGAACAATAGCAAGTACCACACTGATTTGGATGGGAGATACCTCTCGAATCGCCTCAGAACCCTAAAGCATTCTAAGTCGATTGGAACGATGTCTCATCGACCACTGAACGATTGTACGTATCACACCGATTTGGTGGGAGGTACCTCTCGAGTCGTTTCAGTACCCTAAATCATGCTAAGTCAATTGGAGCGGAGTCTCATCGACCTCTGAACGATAGTAAGTACCACACCGATTCGGGTGAGAGGTACCTCTCGAGTCGTCTCAGAAACATAAATGGAATAAGTGAAGTGCTACGAATTTGATTACCTACCCCGGTGACCGGGTGTCGTCACAAGAAGGTATTAAATTGAACTTAGGTAAAACAATTGAAAATTAGCTCCTGACAGCTCCTGCATCCTACTCAAGGGTGTTTATTATAAATTATGAAATTCCTTGAATGTTATAGTTTTCACTATTGTGTAAGTGCTATTATTATTGAATTACTTGTCTTGCATGTTTTCTTGGCCTCACGAGCATCCGCTCACCCCGTTAAACTTGCTTTCTTTAACAGGAGCTGAAATGGAAGGAATTATGGAAAGGTCGACTTGATGGCCTTTTATTAGAATTTTGAATGTATTCATTTAGTCAACTTTTGGAAGCTGTATATTTTGGGATTGTAAGATATTTTAGGTAACTTATGATGTAAGACTTGATCGATTATTAAGAAATTGACCTTCCTTTATATTTTTGACTGTTAATACTGATTGGTTATTCTTAAGTTTGAATTGAATTTGTACCGAATCCTAGCGAGAGTTGGGCAAGCATCCCGCAGATACCCTTGGGTTCGCCCTTGGGAGAAGTAGGGGCGTCACACCTTCATATTTCGGCGTGCGTCTCACGTGGTCGTTGTTTCCTTCAATATCAACTGCTGAATTTGACAGAAGGTCTAACGTTTTGTACTTTGAATAGATTGAGAGCCAAAAGTTTACTTTTAATTGTTTGGGGATCAAAAGTTCATCCGGCTAATAGTTTGAGGGCCACTGGGACTTTGTGCCCAAATATATATAATGTATCTGGGGCACAAATGTGGTTTTAAATTAAACGAACTGAATAGGATTTGATCTAATAGTTAAAATTAAAATCTCATAAATCAGAGTTTCAGCATTCAATTTCTCCTTCCTATTTCCTAAACCCTACTACATCAGTGCTAAGAAGTAGGAAATAAAAATAATGACATATTCTTCTGATTGTTTTACAAAAGAAAAATAAAATGAATCCAAGGAGCTGCCCTGCTTTCTCAAGTTGAAAACATATCAGAGCTTGCACAGAAGTCCTTGAGAACGTAAGATGCTACCTTAAAAGGATTGGAGAAAAAGGTTCGTAACAAAATCAAAAACTGAGGAAAACGTACTAAAATTTATAATCGGCTAAAGGAATTAAACTTTTCTAACCATTAAATGCAAACAGGGAAGCTTTTAGCTGGATAATAATCACAATGAAAAAGAAAGGATGGATAGTAAATAATGGAAAAAAAAGGCTCTCTAATCTTTTATAAGAAAAAGAAGCCCTATGACTGTTGCTCTATTTGTTTAATGGAAAAGAAGCCAACTCCATACTACATTATTATTATTCTTTCGTGGATTGACAAATTGCTAATAGCTGAGTAAGAAATCAAATTTGGTTGAACTACTCAACACTATTTCTTTATTGAGGTCTTGCGTCAGCATAGATCAAAAGTAAAATAATGTTTTTTTAATAGCAGGTATGAATATATGTTATTTAATTTTAATTTGTATTTGAAAATCAATTCTTGTACACATGTCATGTCATGCATTCATAGCCATTAATATACGAAATCAATCCCTTTTTTTGGGTTATACACATTTTTATTTTATTTGGTGGAAATTTGTCACTTGGAGAAACAGTTTGGTATCTTACAGGATCCGGAGTTTCTCCTATATAAACCCCAACGAAAATGTCCCAACAAATCAAGCATCTGAGCTATCTTTAAGCGCTATATATAAGAGCAAAAAACCCCTTCAGTTTCAATACCTAGAAAGTAAGAATCATGTCTACTTTTCCAGAGCTCGATGACAAGATGAGAGAATTGAAGCAGTTCGATGAAACCAAGGTAGGCGTAAGAGGACTCGTGGATTCTGGGGCAGCGAAGATCCCAAGAATTTTCATCTGTCCACCTGAGAGTCGTCAGAGGCTAGAAGAACAACCAGAGATGCAGGCAGCAACAGTCCCCTACCGCAGGTTCCCACCATAGATCTTGAGGGCTCTGAGATCCCATCAAGAAGGGCTGAAATTGTTGATGAAATCCGTCAGGCATTGCAGACCTGGGGTTTCTTCCAAATGGTTAATCATGGGATTCCCACCGGTGTGTTGGATAACTTGTTGAGAAGCACCAGGGAATTTCACGAGCAACCGAAGGAAATGAGGATGGAATTCTACACCCGAGATTGTACCAGGAAGGTGAAATATTATTCCACGGGGGATCTTTATCAAACCAAAACTGCCCAATGGAGAGATACCCTGTCATGTGACTTCGACGACACCAGCAAAATCGATCTGGGGAGCTTCCCTGAAATTTGCAGGTAATTCCTAGAATTTTAGGAGTTTTTCAGTTAAAGTAACGACTTGCACAGCCAGAGGGTTGCTAGCGGTGTAGAAGATTTCAAATTTAATATCTTATTTTTAACATAAATGCATGTTTTGACAGATTCTTTTTTTTTTAATGGATCATTGGAATTGAATTGCAGAAACGAAATTGGAGATTATCTCAATCGCTTGCATGGATTGAAAAACCTGCTGGCTGAATTATTGTCTGAAGCACTAGGCCTATCCAGCAACCACCTTGCCAGTTTGGAATGCTTCGACATCCAGAGACTTTTATGTCATTATTATCCACCATGTCCAGAGCCTGACTTGACCATAGGCATAATGAAACACTCCGACCCGTATATCCTCACAATCCTCTTGCAAGATAACATTGGTGGTCTCCAAATCTTGCACAAGAACCAATGGGTGGATGTAACTCCTGTTCAGGGATCCCTTTTGGTAAACGCTGGAGATCTATTGCAGGTAGATAACAACTAAATAATATTCTCAACATCATGTTGATCAAGTACTACTCCAGTTTGATTTCATTCTAACAATTAGCATCTCGTTTTCCCGTCGATTTTGCAGCTGATTACCAACGATCATTTCAAGAGTGTGGAACATAGAGTAGTAGCTACAAGAGCTGGTCCAAGAATTTCAGCTGCATGCTTCATTTACCCAAGAAACAAGAATCAATCCAAGCCATACGGGCCAGTGAAGGAGCTTCTATCCGACAAGAATCCGCAGAAATACAGGGAAACCAGCTTCCTTGATTACATCCACTATTTTGGTTCTAAAGGCCTTGATGGTGTCAAGGCCCTTCCTCATTTCCAATTGATAAGCGCAAACGAGTAGTTGCAAATCGACTATGTACTACTACTCGTACAAAAAAAAAAATTAATGTCATAAAGTGTAGCAAGTATGGTCTATGATGTAAGCTCACTAGAGAAGTTGCGGATGCATAGCATAAAATAAGTGCTTGTGTTTTGTCCTTTCTTTAATTTCCATTATGGTAATCGGCAAGTCATGTCTTGTGGTATTATAGAATAGGATTGGGATCCTCACCATGGATCCCCTCATTTATTTATGTCTAAATTACTATGATGATATGAATTTGTCTGATTATGGTATTACTCTTCTTTTGTGTAGGATAAATAGCTACAACAATGTTAACACTATCTGCTTGAGTCGTGCTAGAAAGCACTGTCCTAAGAAACTATTTCAGAGTATTGAAATATTTCCCCAGGATTAAACAAGCCTTCTTCTATTTATTGCGAATAAGAAAGACAACCTTTCTTCTTGTTGCAAACTAGAAGGACCAGAACTAGCAAATTAAAAACCAGCAGATATATATATATATAAAGGAAGATGAGAACAGAATTATCAGGAAGATATCAACTAACAAAAAATAAAAGAGAGAGAGAGAGAGAGATAGAGCAGCTATCAAAAGATATTAACTGAAGCTGCTGGGGTGATTTTCTGAGGGAGAAGTGGATCCTATTTATAGACTTCAGAGTGAGGTGCAACCCTTCTCACTTCCGATGTGGGACAAAGACTGCAACCCTTCTCACTTCTCAATGTGGGACAGAGAAAATAATACTTCTCATTTTTTTCCGATGTGAGACAAAGAATATTTTTGAAATACTATATATTTTACAACAATCTCCCACCTATTTCAAAAAAATTCTTTGGATAAAGGAAGAATTTTAAAAGTACTCTGCTGGATTTGGTTGTAATGTAATTAGATTGGTGTCTTTTGGACTATGAACCAAACATAGATTGATAAAATATGATCTACAGAATTATTGGTGAAATATAAATTTCTATGAACCAATAACTCTTGATGTATGACAGAGATTTTATCAATCACATTGCAACCCATAATTTGCTGTTAACGCGATTTTGCGCTTTTTGGCCGTGCGCCTGCCTGGTTATTCATGAGAGCTCTAAAGATTTGACCAATGAATCTTATAGGAGCGGCCCCACTCCACTCTCATATAGGTGAATTCATCAAGTGTGTATTGCTTTAACTACACCTCCCTAATGGGATATGAATTCATTAAGAGTTTTAACTCATCCTCACAATTACTCAAAGCACTTATCTCTGGAGGGACTTAAATTGAAGTGTTTTACCATCAATATTGACTTGTTATTACCCATATGAACCTATTTCATGGGATCACCAATCACATAGGTTGGGTTACCGTCTCTATTGACAGCTTGTTGGTCGAAGTCCCATTTCTTTTGTAGTTTGAAGAATCAATTTTCTTCCAACGGGTTTAGTCAGAGGATCGGCCAAATTCAACTCTGACTTTACATAATCAATGGAAATAATTCCATCTCTAAGCAGCTGCTTTACGACATCATGTCTCAATCTCATGTGTCGACTTTTACAATTATACGATTTATTTTTAGCTATGGCAATCGCTGCTTGACAGTCACAATGTATGGACACAGGAGGCAACAAATCCTTAGTTGAAGGAATATTAGCTAAGAAATTTCTCAACCACTCGGCCTCAGTCCCTGTCAGTTCCAGAGCTACAAACTCTGACTCCATTATTGATCTAGCAATGATTGTCTGTCTAGCAGATTTCCATGCTATTGCACCACCACCAAGGGTGAACACATAACCACTAGTGGATTTCGTATCATTTGAATCAGAGATCCAATTAGCATCACTGTAACTTTCTAATACAGTGGGAAATCCACTATACAGGATACCAAAATTCATGGTACCTCTCAAATATTTCATTAGTCTGACTAATGCAAACCAATGCTCACGGTTGGGATTATGAGTATATCTACTCAGTCGACATACAGCATAAGCTATATCAGGTCTAGTGAAATTCATCAGATGCATCAGACTCCCAATAATCTGAGCATATTTAGACTGAGCAATTGGGTCACCATTGTTTTTCTTTAATTGAGTGTTAGCATCATAAGGAGTACTCACAGGTGTCACATCATAATTTTCAAACTTCCTAAGAAGTCTCTCTGTATAATGTTCTTGTGACAACATTATACCATCACCTTTTCTTATGATTTTAACACACAATATTATTTTAGCTTCACCCAAATCTTTCATATCAAAATTAGAAGACAAAAAATATTTAGTACTATTTACAATATCTAGACTAGTACCAAATATAAGCATGTCATCCACATATAAACTGATTATCACATATTGATCATTTATAATTTTGACATATACACATTTATCCACTTCTACAGATGAGAATCCATCTTTTATCAAGACTTGATCAAATTTTTCATACCACTGTTTAGGAGCTTGTTTTAGACCATAAAGAGATTTAATTAGTTTGCAAACTTTATTTTCTTGTCCAGATACAATACATCCCTCAGGTTGAAACATATAAATTTCTTTTTCTAAATCACCATTTAAAAAGGCTGTTTTGACATCCATTTGATGAATAACAAGTTTATGGATAGAAGCTAAAGCAAATAAAACTCGAATAGACGCAATTCTAGTTACTGGTGCAAATGTATCAAAATAATCAATATTTTGTTTTTGAGAAAATCCTTTTGCTACTAAGCGAGCTTTGTACTTTTCTATAGAGCCATCAGAGTTATATTTTCTTTTAAAAATCCATTTGCAACCAATAGGTTTTGCACCAGGAGGTAAGTCTACCAAAATCCAAGTTTTATTTGACAAGATAGAATCAATTTCAGATTTAATTGCTTCTTTCCAAAATTTACACTCAGGAGAAGAAATAGCATCGGAGTATGTTAAAGGATCATTATCAACAAGAAAGGTTTGGAAATCATTTCCAAATGAAAATTCTTTTCTTGGCCTTTTGCTCCTTCTTAATTCCTCAATTGGAATAATTTTCTTATTTATTTCAACAGGTGCATGAGAAATTTTACTAGACAGTGGAAAAATATGTTCAAAAAATTCAGCATTCTTTGTCTCAATAATTGTATTACAATCAAGTATATCACTTCTTAACACAAGAAATCTATATGCAGCACTATGTTCAGCATATCCAATAAACATACAATCAGAAGTTTTAGAATCTATTTTCCTTTTCTTAGGTTCAGGCAACAAGACTTTAGCAAGACACTCCCAAACTTTTAAATATTTCAAATTTGGTTTATAATTTTTCCATAACTCATAAGGTGTTTTGCCAGTCTTTTTATGTGGGATTCTATTTTGTAAGTGACATGCAGATAATATAGCTTCTCCCCATAAATTATCTGGAGCATGAGAACTAATTAACATAGAGTTCATCATTTCTTTTAACGTTCTATTTTTCCTTTCAGCTACTCCATTAGATTCTGGTGAATAAGGTGGAGTTATTTCATGTATTATGCCTTCCTGTTCACAAAGGTTATCTAAAGTTAAATATTCTCCACCCCTATCTGATCTAATTCTTTTTATCCTTTTATTAAGTTGATTTTCTACTTCAGACTTATAGGATAAAAAGGCATTATAAGTATCTTCTTTATTTCTAAGTAAATAAACTTTGGTATATCTAGAATAGTCATCTATAAATGTGACATAATACCTTTTCCCACCTCTAGTCATTGTTTGTTTTAAATCACCTAAATCAGTATGAATTAAATTTAATAATTCAGTTTCTCTATGGACAGTTATACAACTTTTCTTTGTTATTTTAGCTTCTGCACATATTTCACATTTGTTCATTTTATCATTAATACCAGAAATTAGGCCACATGATTGCATTTTCTTTATATAACCAATATTAACATGTCCTAATCTAGCATGCCATAAAGAAATGGAATCAACAATATAAGCAGAAGAAGATGCATTTTCATTGATCACATTGGAAATATTAAGTACAAAAAAGTCCCTGATTACAATAGCCCTTGCCCACAAATACATTATTTTTGGTCATTATGATCTTTCCAGATTCAAATGACACTTTCACTCCAACTTTTCCTAGCAATGCTACGGAAACCAGATTTGCCCGAATGTTGGGCACATGCAGCACATCATTGAGAGCCAAAGTTTTTCCTGAAGTGAGTTTCAAGAATACTTTGCCCTTACCCAGAACATTAGCCGTTCGTGAGTCACCAAGATAGACCACTTCTTCATCATCCCCTATAGGAGTATAGGAGGAAAATGCTTCTCGATTCGCACATATGTGCCGAGTAGCCCCAGAGTCTACCACCTACTCTTTGACATTGGCTGCACTATTCACTTGGGAGATGACAGCAGCAATTATATCATCTCCTTCGGTTAAGTGCACCTTAGGAGGGTTACCATTTGCTCTGTCACCTTTATTATGTCTGCATTGGACTGCATAATGTCCTGGTTTTCCACAATAAAAACAATTGCCTTTCTTCTTCTTAAAGTTGGGATTGTTAGGCTTGACATTAAAATTTTTAGGCTTGTAATTTTGGGATTTATTGGCGTACCTTTTATTATTGCTTTGCACCAGATTGGCTTTGTAAGCCATCTCCTTTGCCTTGGTAGCTCTCAACTCCCTTTTGTTTGAATCCTCAATGAGGATGTGCTTCACGAGCTCATCCATGGTATAATTTTTCTCCTTGTGTTTCAAGTTGTTTTTATAGTCGGCCCATGACTCAGGTAGCTTTTCAATCAGCATGCCTGCAGCAAATTTTTCAGGAAGATTGATGTCTTCATTTTTCAAGTCCTCTAGCAGCATTTGATATTCGGTGATTTGGATTTTCATCTCCTTGTCATCAGTCATTTGCCATTGGTTGTATTTTCCTACGACGAATTTTTGCTTGGTGCGTTGCATCTTCGGCAGTAAACTTTGTTACCAAGGCTTCCCAAATTGCCTTGGCTTCTTTGCTGCTACAGTAGACATCAAATAATTCATTAGAGAGTGTTTGAAGGATAGTGTGTC